AAACAGCAAAAACAAAGAAACAAACTATGAAAACCACACTTGTAACAGAAATCAGAGAACATACAGGAAAATCGGGTGGGCATTCGCCAATGACTGCAGAGATACAGGGAAGAACATGGGGAGACCTTACCGCCAGCCTGCAGCTCCTCAGGCTGCAGGTCTCCAGTGGTCAAGAACATCAGATGCAGACAGCAGAGAGACTACCTGCCTCTCCACAAGCCAACACCCCATGTCCATCCAGACACGGGGTACACTTACTAAGAAGGGTGTATCTGGGATCCAGAAAGATAGCTTATGAGCAGATAGCAACACACTGGATAGCAACACACTGGATTCACAAAGACCACCACCGACAATTTTAAAACCACATTTTCCGAAGACTCAAATTCAGAAATACTGTCTTTGTGGCTTAACAGAAAGTCACTGTAAAATCCCGAAGGCAGCTTAATTACCATGAGACTAAACAAAGCTGTCCTGAAGAAAGGAAGGCTAGAGACACTGAGGCTAATCACATGTTACTGTCTAACCAGAAGCCCAACCTGACTCTGGGAGAGAGCAACACCACCAAGACAAGAGCCGGGGCCCTTGTCCCCGGCAGCCCTTCCCAGGCCATCTTGTATTTGGCTATCTTGCATATAACCTCCCTACTGTGCAGTAAGGAATTTGGCTTTTGTCCCTGGCTGGGGAGAAGGAGGACTCTAAGTCCTTAGAACTTCCTGAGTAATAGGAATATCTTTGTTACTCATCAGACCCTTGGCTCACACCTGAGTTTATACTAAAAGATGAGAAGACCCAGGATAGAGTCTACTCACCAGAAAGACCAGCCCTGTGATTAGAGGATTAGGGCTAGGAGCCAGCCCAACTCAGAGGAAAGAAGGGCTGGAAATTGAATCATTGGCCACATGGTCGTATCCAGTCAGTCATGCCTATGTAATGAAACCCCAATAAAAACTCTGGACAACAAGCTCCTGGAGCTTTCTGGTTGGTGAACACCAGGTGACATACCCTAATTCCAGAGGGACAGGGCACAGGAGCTCTGCATTCAGGACCATCCCAGACCTCACTCTGTATGCCTCATCACTGTGGCTGGTCTTGATTTATATCCTTGATAAAACTGCACTGGTAAACATAGAGCTTCTTGAGTTCTGGGAGTCATTCTAGCAAATTATCAAACTGGAGAGGGTCATAGGAAACCCCTGGATTTGTAGCCAGTCAAAAGTGTGAATGGCCTGGAGACCCCATTTACGGCTAGCATCTGAAGTGAGAACAGTTTTGTTGGGGACCATATCTTGTAGCTGATGGGATCTGCACTAACTCTGGGTGGTTACAGCAGAATCTCACTGCAGTACACCCCTCCCCCATTTTCAATCAATTCAAGTGCTGTATACCAGTTGTGAGACAGAGCAGGGGCCCGCTCTTAAAGGCCTGCTGGGCAACCCCTAAGCATGGAAATAAAGGAAAAATCTTCAGAAACTTCAAGCGAAATTCCAGGCACCTAGCTAGCCTTGAAAAGTAAATGAGCAACCTGATAAGATGGTAACAATAGCCTCCCCCAAGCAAGCCAGAGTTCCAAGGTGTTTTTGTGTTCCCTATAGAAACTAAAAGATAACATCTTAACATGTTTCTGAGTTGTTTTTCAGAAAACCCCATCAGATGTAAAATGCAGAGCACTGTCACTTAGATATCAGGTCAGGGAGAGCTGAGCACTGAACTCTTACTCCACCTTTCTTTGAATAAATTTCTTCCTGTGAGGCCAGGAGAGACCCGATTCCTCAGGCCAAACCTCCATGAATAACCTCCAGGTGTTGGCTTATGATTTAGTCCGCAACTTCTGCTTTCCTAAAATGTGCCTGTGCCTTTAAAAACCTTGCTTCTGAGCTACTGGGGAGTTCAGACCTTAAGCAGTAGCTGCCTGTTCTTCTTGCATGGTGCCATGCAATAAAACGCACTTTTCCCCCCACTGAAAATCTCGTCGTCGTCAGTGTCTGGCTTTACTGCACCGGACGAGAAGACCCCAGTTTGGTTCAACACCCAGGTCCAAATAATACAACTTTGATCTGCTAAAACTTATGCTGTTCGTGACTAGAAATCTCCTCCTACTTAATAGCAGCTAAATATTTTGAGTACTTTCTATCCCAGATGTGGTTCTAAGACCTTCTAAGACCTTCCAACTAAATGAGAATTAACTTACCTAATTCTCATAGTCACGTTTTGGGTAGGTACTGTGATCATTCCCATGTCACGGATGAGAGCACTGAGGCACAGAGAGGTTAAGGGACTTGCCCAAGGTCACGTGGTGGAGGTGCTGGGATCCAAAGATGTTCCTCCATCCCGGAGCCTACCTCTTAGCCACCAGACTGGAGGAAGAGCTGTGACTGCTGGCTGCCATGGCACAGAGCCGGGGATGTGCCCCTTCTCCATCCCCACTTGCTCCCACCCTCCATCCTTGGAACGGCCTTATGCCGACCTCCTTGGAGAAGAATGTGTGCTTTCTAATGGCAGAATCATCCGGCTCTGACTGCAGCTCAGGAAAATGAATTTTGAGAACACAGCACTGGGGGAGGTTAACTATTTCCCTGGAAGTCTTTTCCAACAAAAACAAATTAACAGCTGGATGGTACTGGATGTAAATGAAAGTGACACATTTCACTGCAACAAATGAAGAGGTTCGAGGTTGTTCCTTTTCATCGTCGTCTCCCTCACCACGGGCAGAACCTCTCCACGGTTGACACAAATCTCTTCTCCCCTACTTTTTCCCTATTACTTAAACTCTAAAGTGCTAAATACTTCTTCACTTGTCTTAAATTGATGACACGGTTTGATGTTTTCTGTGTGTTTAGCACAGCAATTAAAACCTCAGGCAGTCATTTTTCAAATAAAAGTTACATAATAAGGACATCAGCGGGCTTCGTTTACTCGTTCAATAAATATTTTGAGCATCTACTGCATGCAGAGCAACATTCTAGGCAAAGTCCCTGCCTGTCCTCATGACACGGACATGCCAGCAGGGGCGAGAGTCAAAGAGAGAATGAGCAAACATACATGCACTTGTATGTGCACATGTGTACATGTGTGTAACTTCAGGAAACAATAAGTGATATTAAAACAGGCAGGTGAAGATCCGGGGTTAGCACAAAACAACGTCCGTGGCTGGGGTGAAATAAGTCATGGGAAAAGGAGGAGATAGTTGGGGGGGGGGGACAGTTTTTTCTGAACTGATGTATCCAACCCTTATCACCACCTCCCTCCTCTCCCCCAAGTCCACACCACCACCTCCTGCCGGACAGCGCTCACCTTCCCAGCTGGAATCTTCACTTCCACTCTTGCCTCTTACAGCAATTCTCCACACAAGCCAAAGGATCCTTGTAAAGTACAAATCCAACCAGGTCACGTCACCTTCCCGCTCAAGACCCTCCAAACGTGTCCAGCGCAGCCAGGATAACACCCAAGCTCCGTGCCCTGCCCAGCAAGGGCACCCAAGCTCCGTGCCTTGCCCTTCCTTGGTTTTTCTTCACTGCCTGTAATCCACCTGACACATGACTTACATATTTCTTCCCTTCGTCTGTCTTTATTCACCACTATAAACCAGTGTCTAGAACAGTGCTGGGCACAGAGCAGGTACACAATAAATATACATTGAACGACAGAACGAACGACTTTGATGATGTCATCACCGACTGGGTCATGCAGAGTCAACTCGTAATTCCCAGTCCCGGGCATCCAAGCCATCCACACCCGCTGTCCAGGGACTCTTGGTTCAGATCCTGGCACCCGCAAGCCCAGAAGGCAACACTGTCCATCTGACTGTGCCAACTGCTCCAATAAGCTCGCCACCCTCTGACTCTGGCCCCAAGAGGACAAGGATTTCCCATGAAATCATCTGACAACCTAACATTTATGCAAAAAGGGCAAAAAGCACCTCTTGGTTGATGAATTTCTCTAAATTATAAAGTAAGTGGAGATGCCATCTCAAATGCTCTCTGTTGGTAAGTGGGTGGACAGAATTTCCAAGTAAGCAGAAGTGTCTTCAGTGCCCCCTTTTCCTGCAGGGACCACGGCCTATGGCTGCTCAGTCTTCACACACCTCCCTCTCTGCCCATGAATGGGCAAATCTCCCTCGTCACTAGGACAGTGGAGTGTGTTCCATTCAGAGTAACTGTCCCTGCACAAAAGGCCTACAACACTCCAGGCTAAAATCCTAAGTGGGCTTTAACTGGACCATCCATGTTGGTTTGCTCTACGTTCCCATTTGGGGAGATAGGTAGGGTTGAGGAATCTGTCTTCTGTCTCTCCTTCTCCCAAGTTGGGAGCAGTGAGCCAGAATACCCGGTAATTCTGCAACTTGGAATCCCTACTTCTGAACCAGGAACAATCTGACTACAGGGAAATGGCACCATGTCGTGGACAACAGCTTTTGCATCTTGGAAGAATGCAAAACCTACTTATTGAGTCACATCTCTCCACTTTTGTACAGGATTTTTTTTCCCTTGGTTATTCATTTTGCTACCTGCTGGCATTCACTGGCAGATAAGTGACTGCCAAAGACTGAGCAGGTTAGGGAAAGAAAGACTTAAGATTGGGAAAGCTCCATTCTGTCACATAATTTATTTTTCTGGAAACTGAAAAAACATCACTATGATATGATTCCAGGGGCTGAGTACCTGAATCAGTTAAGCACTCATAGCAAAATTACTGCAGAAAGGAAACAAGATATGCAACACACAGGGCCTTTGTTGGGCTGCACAGTAATCATGTAAAAATGGCAATTAGTTCCTTTAAAGGATAATTAACATTGCCTTTACATAACACACTTTTTTTTAGTTTTTCTTTTTTACTGATGTTTTCCTGCATCAGCAATCAGCGAAGTAATCAACATCGATGTCAAGCATTTTCCCTGAGACACTAACACTTTCATCAAACACACTTTCATACACACAGAGATATTTCCATTTGGAAAACAAGAGGGTGGGGTTGGAGGGTTGGAAAGGCATAGTTCTTACCCCTGCAGCATTCTGGAATTCTCTTGCTGGTTAACCACAGGGCTGCAGGATTTGAAGTTCTGCCCACAGACTCAAGACTGTAGAGCAAAGAAAAGTCTCATTTGCCTCTGAAACAGTACCCCAAGACCAGCCTTGCATGAAGATGCAGACATTTTTGAGCACCTCTTCCAGGCACCGAGTATGTGACAATGAATAGTCTTGCTCCCTGCCTTTGAGGGAGGGATATACCAGTAGATAGTTATGAGATAAAATAAAGCCCATCTATTGGTTCGATAAGTATCTGTTGAGGACCTACGTGACAGGCACAGATTTAGACACTGGGCCTCCAGCAGCGCACAAATGCCAGTGCATGGCATGTAGGCGGTATTGCAAGAATAGAGAAGAAACATGTCTTATCTGATCCAAGAGGATAGAGGAAGGCCGTCTCTGAAGAGGAAGGAGTTCAAAACCCTGGAAGGAGTCTTGAAGGATGAAAAGATGGTTGGGGAGGGGCAGCCCCAGCAGGGGGTGAGAACAAATGCACCAAGCAGGCACACCTGAGGGTACTGCTCCCCTGTGTGTCTGAACAGAAGGGGAGGCCGGCAGCAGCCACAGCCAGTTTGCTGTGTAGGCAAGACAGCACGAGCTGGGGCTTGGAATGCCACAGCAGGACTGAGGACTCTCCCAGAATCAAAGTGACTTTGAAGAGCCCTGAAGCTCAGGAGCGACACGATCCACTTCCCTTCTCAGATATAATTTCCTCCTGAGTTGGTTAGTTGGTTTTTATTTGCAGCCATTGCCTCTCCTGCATCAGAAGCTTGAAAATGCAAAAAAAAAAAAAAAAAATTGATTTAGCAAGTAAGTCCCAAAGAATAAGGCATTTAAGATTTTTCTATCTTTATTAGAGAAGATGACTAAAAACACTGAAAGGAAGAAGAAAAAAAGAAGAAGCCTTTCAGAGACCAAAAAAAAAAAAAAAGAAAGTGAGCTAAAGAGCAGCTTCCTAGAGACAAACCTCCCTGACTTAGCAATTTTGCTGGAACCGTTCGTTTCCATCTCCGCCGGGACCAACAGAAGCTGCATGGCAAACGTTTTCCACGTTCCGCGTGGCCTGCTGCCCACATGAGACCTCAATGGCAGCTACATCAAGCTCCAGCTCCAAACTTGGCCGCCGCGGCTCGCAGCGAATGAGCCAGCCTCCAACAGATCCAGATAGGAGTGAGAAGACACGTCCCTCACCATGGAGGACGGTTGCAGAAAAGGCTACTTTTAAAAATAGGTTTAACTGAACAGGACAACATTCCCAAGGGCATTCAAACTGAGTACCAAACTTCTCCATGACGTGAAGGGCAATTTCAGATCCTCCTGGTCTAAACTTCGATTATTAAACATCCCATCCATTCAGTTTCTACGGACAAAACTACTTTCTGTAGACAAGACTGCTACGGCTCAGAAAATGGTATTCTGAATGCACTGGTGCAGTAAGATTGCACCGAAATGCTATGGTTTCCAATCCAAAGCCAATGATAAGTTTCCATCCGGCGTGCCCAGCTGACTGACTAAACCTTGGGCCTGAAAGTTAGTCTAGCATCAAATGAACTAGATTGCTTCAATACAAACGCAAACACAAATTTAATTTCTATACAATTATCTGTCTTCCAAATAAAATTCTAAACCCCAACAATAAGTGATGTTGTAATTAGGTTGGTTGTTTTCTTCATTAGACAGAAGCAACCATATTAAATTTTTACTACCTTGAAGTCCAATGTTTCTATTAGTGAACCCATGCATGAAACAAGGAATTTTTGTTAATCTACCCCTGAAAGTTGCCAAGATGTTTAACTGCCACATTTTAGAATATTTCAAATGTCTCCAGTTAGAATCAAAACTAAAGATATGGATTAAAAAGTAGTTTTATCTTTCTGTACTGTATAATTCCATTTATGTAACAACAACAAAGAAACCAGGTGAGGGGGTAAACTCACAACTAAAGGACACAGTGAGCATGGTAGAGGGCAAGGGCATGCCTCTAACCCTCACTAGGGAGAGGAGAAGACATAGTAACCAAAATGTTTGTATCCTCATAATACACTGAAATAATAATTTAAAAAAAAAAGCCAGGTGAAACTGATCTGTGCTGTTAGAAGTCTGGGTAGTGGTTACTTAAGCTTGGTGGGGGGAGGGGCACACTGATAGTGATGAGAGAAAACAAGGGAAGCTTCTGGGGACCGAACAGGTTTTGTGCATGTCTTATTTCTCGATCTGGGTACTACTAAGACAGGTATTTGACTGTGACAATTCATCATGCTGCATACTATGGATGTATCCTCTGTTCTTCACGTATAAACCAATACAGTCTTAAAACATTGACAGTGGAGGACAAAGCACGGTCTGCGCTCACAAACATCAATGTGTCAGGACTTCAGTTCTGTGTGGCATTTGAAAGAGGACCAGTTTCACGTGGGCAGAAACCAGACCAATAGAAATAACTGCTTTACTCAGGCTGCTTTCATTCTGTCTTGTGCATTTTTCTTAAAGACCTCAACCATCCCACAGTGATGAACCTAGCTCAGGTGACACCAAGGCAGATCATCGCTAGGTGACATCCCTCCTCCATACAAAATTCCCAGCAATAATCAATATTCTTGAATCATCCTTTTAAAAGATTCAAAAGAATTTCATTCTTAAAGTTATTGCAAATTCAGTAAAAAAAGTTCTTCCATGAGCTACCAAAGTGTACTATATGCGCTTAGCAAACAATGGTACACCGAGTTCTCACTGGTTTCAAATTTTAATCACGCATAAAAACTCCCAATGGTCGCATAAAATGACAGAAGTGATGAAACTCAAGTTCTGTTCGTCTTAAACTGAGCTATGCTTATTTATTACAAATTTCTACTTAAACACAGGAGACATGAGCTGCACCTAGAGGAAGCTCCAATTGTAAACTGTTGAGAATTTACTCTCAAAGCCATGTATGGAGTTGAGTCCGCAGGCATCTGGACCAATTAAGTAACAGGAGGTTAATTTGCCAAATTAACCTCCATGTGGAATACAATGATTTTCAAAGGGTAAAAATAAAAAAATAAAATAAAAAAAGGTACTAAGCCAGGCACAGTGGTTCACACCTGTAATCCCTGCACTTTGGGAGGCCAAGGCAAGAGGATCACTTGAGGCCAGGAGTTTGAGACCAGCCTGGGCAATATAGCAATACCCCATCTCCACAAAAACTAAAACTTTTTAAAAATGGGCTCATCTGAAATGTGTATGTATATTAATATATACGCATACATGTAATTATGTAGCAGCAATGATTTAGAACTTAGAACAAAGCAATTTTTTTCAGGAAGTATTTTATCACCAGCTTTGTTTACAATTGCCCACACATTACCATAATGAAAAAGCAGACTGGCCAGGGTCAGTTTGATTGTTTTTAGTCTCAGTAGACAATGCACCCTGCCCCCCACCCATAGATGCACCTGGAAAGGACCTTTCCCACAGCCCCTTCTACTGCCCCACCCTCAGGAGGCAGCTGCAGCACAACCAGACAAAAACCTCCTGGAGACACAAAATAAGCCTCAAGTTCAGGCACTAAAGCCTCTGTACTGGACACAAATAAGGCCCCTCTGGTTCCTATGAGGGTGGAGTAGGGTTTCTCAACCTCAGCACTATTGCCTGCTTGGGCTGGACAGCTAGCTCTTGGAGGGGTTGGAGGCTGGCTTATGCCCTGCAGGATTGCAGCCTGAAAAAAGAGAGTAAGAGATGTTTCTACAAGCTACTTCTTTAAAACTTCCCCCATTCTTTCTGTAACTGAAACCCGCATCCTTGCCTCGGGCCAGTGGTCCGGAGGGGCAGGGGCCCGTCCTTTGCTCTCTGTACCACAGGAGCTGGCTCATCGGCATGGCCCACTGGTCCATGCTGGAGATGGGAGGAATCAGAATCCTCAACTATAGTGAAACAGCAAATAGCCTGAAGCTGAAAATGCTCCCTTTAAAACCTCTATATTTCTGCTTTTAAGGAGGAAAACTAGTACTTTAAGATGGGAGTTGGCCATTTTCCTCATCTGCTGGCAAATTAATAAACCTCCCCTTCCTTCTCCTCAAACCACTTGTCCTCAGTCTTCTGATAAAGCCTCAGGGACAAGTGCCAAACAGGATGTTTAGCAGCATCTCTGGCCTCTACCCACTGGATGCCAGTAACACTCCCCCACCCTCCACGGAGGTGGGGCACATGCCCCCAGGGAGCAAAATCACTCCCAGCTGAGAATCACTGTCAGACCATCTTTGGAAGAGTCTACAAGAAATCAGGCCCACTGCTGGCCTCTGGGGAAAAAAGACTTAGTTTTTAATAGTGTAAGGGCCTGGTTGCAGCCCAAAGCTGCTGGCTCACTTGTGCGAGCCCGGATAACAGAAAATTGGCCCAAGAGAAGAGTAATCGGCTTCTAGAAACTGCTAGCTTGGGGCCCAAAAGTAGAGCTACCGGCTAAACGCATATTTCTGCTTCTGAGAATCGCTTGCTTGCAGCTAGACACATAGGTACGGTGCCAGATAAGGGAGAAAGCCCCCTCTGCCCCCCGCCGGCCAACAAGCCAACAAACAATTTAAAAAACAAAAACAGCAAACAACCTGGGCAACCCCGGGGGTCAAAAAAGAAGGGAGATAAAAAGGCAGCCCCAGCTTTGGTCAGGGTCCTTGCCTGTAAGAGTGACCACTGCGCTGGTACTCTAGGGCCTGGACCCTGGCTAGCCAAAAAATAAAGCTCCTCTTGAGTAATTGCATCCTTGGTGTCTTTGTTCGTCTGCCTGGCGGGGTACAAGAAGCCGGTCCCTAACAATAGCACCCTTTGAATTCTTAACAACGTACATCTATTTCTTATTCAAACAAATACATTTAAATACACAAAAGAAACTAGAGACAGAAACAAAGCAAGAATGAAACAAGGCAAGAATGAACTTTAGGTAAAAGCGTGTACCATAAGAAAGTGCCTGCAACCCCCTCTCAAACTATCTTTTCCCTTTTTCTTTTCAAAAATGTCCCTAAGGGGAAAAATATAAAATTAACATCTTTCTGAAATGGTTATTCTACTTCATGATACATTTTGTACACACATGGAAATGGATATCTTTTTAAATATATATATATTCCTGGTCCCTTCCTTGGAATCTCCTATTTCACACACAACTCTCATTTGTTACGTGGTTTCTCCAGGTCAGATCAAAGCAGAATGGAAGCAGCAGATCAGAACAGTAACCCAGTCCTGGGCCAGCCTTGGTATGGTCAAAAGAGCCAGGCACTTGGGGACAGCAGATCTGGGTTTCAGTCTCTGCCACTTTCTAACCCTGGAACCCTGACCAAATCACGGCCTTCCAAGACACCGGTTTCAATTTATGAAATGGAGGGTGACACGTGCTTTACTGTGCCGCTGTGCAAACTCATTCAGATGAAGTACGTGGAAGTTTTCAAACAAATGTCAAATATTACCTTTACTGCAGGATGACACACATCGCGATTCTCAACCAGAGGTAGCTGCTGGCTTTACCAACAGGAGTCTCAGCATTGGTAACAGCTCCAGGCTGGGGCCCAGCAGCATGAACAGCAGACTGAGAAGGGTAGAAAGAGCATGAATTAGATGCAAAGGCAGGAGAGCACAGGATGAAGATAAAGGGTTGGGGGCCAGGCGGTCCAGGTTCTGATCCCACCAGGGGCCCGTGCCCAACTCTCTTGACTTCTACTTGCCTTGTTCTCTTGATCTACAAGCTGGGAATAATAGCAGGACAGCTGCTTCACAGTATTTGTAGTTTTGTTCTATCAAGTCTCTGCAGACACTAACTCAGCAAATCCTGAACCATTGCTCCCAGAGAAGACATAGGTTTCTGGGGGCCTCTGGTCACAACTTCATCAACTGATCCAGACATAACCTTGTTTCATCTGTGTTTCTGTTTGAAGACAGCGTTAACATTGAACTCATGGCCAACGGAACTACAAGTCATGCTTCAGTGAAGCTTGCCTAGCACTTGTATGTTCTCCCTAAGATACCTCAAATCACCAGCCTTCTTGTGCTTAGGAATACCAGACAACACCTCAGCACTGTGCTTGGCAGCCATTTGAAGCAGCAGGATCACCCTAAAAAAGGGGGGTGGGGTGAGGGAAGCATGGCAGTAACCAGATGGAAGAAAGAACCCTTGTTTATAATATGAGAGCTGAAGCAAGAAGGCAGAACAGTTGCCTTGTTCAACCTCAGCTGTGAACGAGCACATCAGGCTGCTCAAACATTCTTCCACTCTGTGCGTGTCCACGAACGACCAGGACAACACCGTGTTGCTTTCGGGGCTACATGTAAATTTTGGCAAGCAGGCAAATTTGCAAATACCAAAATCTACAAAAAATGAAGATGGACCATATTTGCCTTCAGTGTAGCTCTGATGAGTCAATCAATTAATACAGATAAAGCACAAATTGAAAACTCGGCAAATGTCAGTTATTATTCGGGGGGAGTCAAATATTTAAATAAAATGTACGATATGTATGATGTAAAAAGCATGACGGAAATACAAAGGACACATGTAGGTGGTAACAGAAACGACAAGGCAGAAATATGGCATGAGGAAAGGGACTCGAGAATAAACATTCTTTTCCTAAAGCAATCTCTTCATCTATTCATCTTCCTTTGCACCAAGAGGTTACACACCCTGTGGCCAGCCATCTACCCTTTTGCTCTCAAACCCATTCTCTGCACACCTTGTCCTTCTGCAGAGTAGCAAGGGCAGGTGCATTTCCCAAGCTCCCTGGCCATCTGGTGTCCAGTCGTGCTGGCCTGTGGGAGCAGGAAGGGAGGGAGCAGCAAGGGTCTCTCTCCCCACCTCAACCTGCTGGCAGGTAGATCTTCTCCAGGGAGGTGGCACTCTCTGGAGGGCCCCACTGCCCTTTTCTGAAAGCACCATCAAAGCCGTCACCCCCACCCCATTCCCGGGAGAGGACATCTTCCCGAGATTACAAACGTCTGGGTCGCTGCAACACACTGTGGCAACTCACCTCTTCCAGCACCCAAATACCCAATTTTCTGTATTAGCTTGTCAGTGGGAGACGCCTAGTGCAGTCCCTGTGACTATTATCCTACTGAACCCTGGCTCTGGAAGGATGCTACGCCCTCAGACCCTTCTGCCAAGAGCCTCTCCCACTGTCCACCCCACAATCTCACTTCTCCTGTTCTGACTCTCTGGCCTCTCTGAACTGAGAGCAAATAAAAGATTTTGTTTTTAATTCACTACTGCAGGAAGAGAAAAGCCTATTTGTGGAAATATTATGGCGATTTCAGCTTTTTATCAAGTTACATTACCTCTGCCACCTTTCAACATGGGCTCCCAGCTGCCCTCTCACCGATGGAGTGATGGTTTCCCTCTACTTAAACGCTATTTACCTTTCAAAGACTGAGCATTACTCTCAACTCATAAATACCTTGATTTTTTTTTTAATCCAAATGCAGCCTATGGCACGTTGCCAATTCACTCTAACAGTCCGCATCAGCCACTGCAGGCGGCTGGCGATTAATTCCGGCAGCGTCCATTCTCTTTTCTTTCCATTGTGTCTTACCCCAGCGCATAAGAACGTCACGCCCGACCATAATCACACTCGGAGTAACAGATGGATAAATGAGTTCACTTGGACAAAAGAATGTCATAGTAAGATTCTGATCAGTGAATCAGAGAAAAATGTGAGAGAGTAGATGAGGGATGCCAGCTCCTCACGGAAATTGCACTCTTGTCTCCTTCCTGGGCCCACACCTGGACGCACTTCTCAACCAGGGGTGACCCAGGTGACTTAGTTCTAGGAAACAGACTGCGAGTAGAGACGTAAATCATTGTCAGGCCCGGCCATAAAAATACTGCATGCTGGCTCCTCCATCCATCCCCCTAATCCTGTGGGCTGGAATGACAACTACCATAGGGTAACAATTACAATAGGGTGACAATTACCATAGGGTCACCTGTGTTCCAAGAGTCAGGGCCTACTTAGCCTGAGTCACTAAATGACTCCTTTGAAGAGGTCATCCTCTCACACCCCACAGAACTATTCACCAGCCAAAAACTACAAGAAAAAAGCTGACACTGGGTGCACAGTGACTATCGATACAGATCTGTCTCACACACGTGGGTCGATCTGCCACAAAAGGTCACTACGTCACCATTGCAGGCGACGTCCTTGCAAACGAGCAGGTCAAACGTCAGGCCAAGGTGGCCGAGGGGGTGTAAGAGAGAATCCCCAGCACGTCCCTTCCAGAAGGAACTTTAAAAGGAATCCACCCAGGCAACGGGCTAAACGCCTCTTCCTCATCCCACATGCCCTGTTGGGAGAACATGGACATGTTAGTGAACCACCGCTTTCATTCTGTAGCCTAAGACTCAGAGAGGTCAGAGTGGCCTCCCCACACGTGAGGGCAGACCCAGAGCTGAGACACAACTCCAAGGTCAGGGCCACTCAAAGAGCAGTCAGCAGAGCGGTGCCAGCCCCCGTATTTGTTTCTGAGTCTGTGAAAAAATTAATACCAAAATGGAAGGTAAGTATTCTAGAAACTTTCATAGCAATTTTCTAGGGTAATATTGTAGCTTTAAATCTAATAATAAAATTGGAGGTTTATATAACATTACAAACTTAATTTCATTTTTCCAGTAATTTTTTATTGTACCAGTCCATCGTGACTTAAAATTTCTAAAACCATTCTGTTTCTCCAGCCACCAGAGTCCTAAAACTCTTTCAGCCAAATTCCTGAGGCCGCCACACATCCCCTTCCGGGTCCTTCCGGCCTCCCCCTCAGCTGGCACAGCACGCCCCTCCAGCCTTCCCTCAAGGCGCCCCTCTCAGAAAGCGGGTGGCGTTAAGCTCGCCAGCCCCGCAGGCCGTGGGCGCCGACGCCTGTGCGCCATCCTAGACTCCGGCCAAAACGCAGAGCCAAGTGAACGGTTAGTCATCCGACAACAGCACGGTTGTGAGCTAGCATAGCACACTTTCTGCTTCAGAAAACAGCCAGTTAAAAGAAGAAATGGCTAGAAACCTGCCGAGGGGCCTTCCCCACGTTATTTAACCTGGGGGGGCTTCTCTGCCACCCTACACGCACCACCGTCTGTCCGTCACTCTACACCCGAAAGGCAAAGTGACAGGGCCTCTGCCTCTCTCCTCCAAAGAGGTCGGCACACGTGGAGAAAACCCCGTCCCAGGCCTGGGGAGGAGCAAGAGGTTATTTACAAAGTGAGTCATCCGTGTGGCATCAAAGTATGATGAAGTATTATGGGAAGGAAACAGGATACAGAGACAGTGTTAGCTTTGCCAAGCAGGACCGAGTGAATTACCCGTTACAGGGAAGTGCTGAACTAGCTGGAACGAACACACACACACACACACACACCTGAAACTGAATGAAAAGGGGAAGCAGATGGCAAGAATGTAACAACAGAAACCCTAGGTCTGGGCACAGCCAGGAAGTGCCAACTGTCCTCAGAGCTCAGGCACGCTGGGCTTCCTGGGTCCCAAGCAGACCACATATTTCAGAACTCCCAGGAACAAAAGGACCGTAACTTTTAACATAAGAAGCCAAAGCAAGCAGCTTTCAAAGTTACTAAGACACACGTGACCAGCGAGATAGGAAAGACGGCAAATACGGGGTGTGGGTACATGAGTGGCTATCCTATTAAGTCTCTGAACTTATATTTGAAATACCGAATTTTTAAATATTTTTTTTTCAAGTAAAGCCAAAGAATAAATGTGCTCGATGCTGTTTTGAAACAACCTCCCGCTCTGACCCAGGATTCTGATTTGATGCAGTCAGCAGCTCTGCTGCTGTACACCCGGCCCCACTCCGCCCTCCGGCCGGCAGAGAAGCAGGTCTGCCCACCATGCCACCCTGCCCGTGGGCAGTGGCCACGTACAAAGCAATTTTATAGATTCTGAGGCACTTCGTGGGCTCTGAAAAAGAGAACTGGGACGAGATGCTGATGTGCACCATGAGCAAAGGGCCGGGAAGAGGTGACAGACATTCATTCCTCCGTGGACAATCATGCCCAAGCCTGTGGCCACCATCTGGCTGCCTCAAGCAGCCTACTCCTGCCCGACTCCAGGCAGCCCCGCACACCACACAGCCGGGACCGGACACTGGCGGCTCTCGAGATGTGGCCCACGTCTGTCCTGGAAACCATATACGAAACCTGTGCATAGGCAATGAAGGTGTTTTATTGTAATCACATCTAACACCTGCCACCTAAGTCCCCATTTCTTGTCTCAAACTATTCACCTTTTATGCCAACAGGAAAACGTCAATAAATCCAGATTACGGGATTAAAAATTAACGTTTAACGTATTTCAATGTCTGCACGACCCAGGTAAAAAGAAAATGAAACGAAAATCTCTTCTACTTAAAAATAAGACTGCTTTACACTTGTTCACTCAGCTCAGATGCCGACACATCCCAGCCACTGGTGCTAGCCACTGGTGGCACGAAGAGGAAAACGCCAGTCAGTCCTAACCCTCAAGGAATGTCTAGACAGACCCACGGTAACCAAAACGCATTCCAATTCCCTTTTTCCTTTGCTCCGCTGTCTTTGGCAGCATGTGCTCCTATGATCTACTGGGGTGGCCTTGGTTTTTATTTGCACCAGGAACGTGGCGTCATTCCCTTCCAGTCAGGTCTCAAGAAATGAGGCTTCAAATCTGGTTCTCTGAGAAATTAGCACATAAAACCAAGCAGGTACAGGATCCACCAACCCATCTGAGAAACATTTTCTGACATCCATTTCCCAGGGACACCCTCATCACAGGCTACGTGGCTGCCAGAGCCGAGTCATTTGGTCTTAGAAGCTAATATCCTTCCTGTTCTAAACTGACTTCATATGGTCACAGCCTCTTCCTACAGAAGTCAGAAGAGATGATTTTATAACACGGGGTGGGGGAATGCCACCTCATCACCTTCATGGCCAAAGGGTGCACAAACCACATGATTTATATGCTAAGGGCCTGTAATTAAAGGATTAAGAAATGTAAAGTCATCTGTGATGCGGCTTTCGAGTTATAAATGTCAACGACAGCGAAGTCTGCTACTTTGGGAACTCCTCCAACAGGTTGACAACAGCCCAACCCAGCAGCTCTGGAGGAGGCTGACAGACAGCTGCTCTTTCCCTAGTTACTCCCAGAAGTGCCAAGAGGCCTTTCCAAAGGCAACTAGGTATATAGCATGCTGGAGGGAGAAAGTGACAACATATTTGATGGCAGAAAGACACAGCCCAGGAGTCCCGCACAACGCCAACACGTCTGCCTGCTCCATAAAGGCTGTCAAACCCACACGGTGCAGAGCTGACAACAGGAGGGAGGCGTGCATGCTGCCATGAGAATCACAGTACAGTAAATGCAGAGAGACGCTCCTCTTCCCCATAGCAAGAGCCACAGCACTGGGTGGCAGTGAGGACAGACCCAGCTCCATCCCGGCCCCCTCCCCCAACAGCGCCAGCCTGCCTTCCCCAGATACCCTGCCTGGCAACCCTTGGAGCAGACTGCCCTACCTATTGGCACTAAACCAGTTTCAGGGGAAAGAGACCCTTGAAGACAGATTGCTCAGTTGTCCAGTCTTTGAAATGAAGTGACATTCTCATTAAGCAGGGTGTGAGGTGTGTGTATGGGAGGCAGGGACAGACTAAATATGCTTATTGTATTTTAGACAAAAGCCCACATCTTTAGAGATTCAAAAGCCCTTTGAGGTTCCAAAAGGACACACACTTCCTGTTTCTCTGGTTTCTCCCAGCAGGACAAACTCTCAAGGTGACAGCTTAGAGAAAAGACTCAGATAGAAGTCACATGGTCACATGATTTTCTAGCTCTAGCAGCATTAATGCTTTTAGTCACATCAAGACATTCTGTCTGCTTGCAAGTTGGAGTGTTTTATCCTGTGATGTTGTTGGAGGCAAAATATGTTCAAAGATCCACATACATTAAAAGACAAACAAACAAAACAGGGATTAGGAATGTTTAGTGTTTTATTTTGTTGACCCCCATAATCTTGAAACCCAAATCCTATCGGCCTGTGAAATCCAAATGTTCTGCTCCAAGGTGAAAATCTGATTTACCAAGGTGACTCTCAAGCGTAGCCTAGGCAGTGGTTTGAAGTGCTGCAAACAATTCCGGCAGTGAAAATAAGGAAGTACTTAGCAAACTGCTTCCACCCTAAAATATGCTCATAATTGAGGACTTAAAGTGTCCTTGAGCCATGGTTCCTTGATATAGACACAGTTTAGAGGCTGTACAAGCCTTCTGAGTCACTCTCTCCAGTTCAGTGGCTTTACCTACATTCACAACGTGACCTTCTGGGTCAGGCCTGGGTTGGGCTGCTCTGAAGGGCCAGCCCTTCTATGTAAGAGTAAGCGGCATGGACAAGCTCAATAAATTTGTATTTTATAATGAATGAGGTAATAAATAGCCTTCTGCTCCAGTCACTTCACCAATTCTATAGAGAAAAAAATATTCTTGTTCGATTACGCTGAAAGATCAACTCCACCAGGCCTTAAGCAGGTAGCCAGAGATGTCAGGATTGTGGGTGACACCGAGGGAACCACCCTCTGGCCCGCTGGGACCACAGTGTCTGCATTTTGATGGTCCCAATGATAACATCTGACTAAAGGACTAGGTCCTCTCCTCTGCAAAGGGCAAATATCCTGCGTGGGCTCTGTGCTTAGCCGGGGTGAATATTTGCTTACTGTAGTACTTACACGGCCTAACGGAGCCTCCTCCAACGTCCAATTTAGAAGAGGAATCGCTCCTGAAATCACAAGGACATTTTTAAGTTCCTCCTCTTTAAGGACTTGATCCATTGCATACAGACAGGCTGACAAAGAGCTTGTACGAACCTTGTTTCTCCCTTTTTGGAACCCAACTGCCTTTTAAGATAGTCTCCCAAAAAGAGATAGCTAAAAATAATGAGGTGGGAGGCCCTATCACTTCCACACCAGAGGCATTTGTCTAAAAAATATTATCTCCCTTGTTAGGATCCAGATCCATCCATTATTAGTCCAGGAAGGGTAAGGCCACACTTGGCAAAGATGGAGCATCTGCACAAAACTGCTCTTTGTTCCAAGTCTCAGCAGGCCTCAAACCAAAGCTTTCTACCCACCCTAGTGCTTTCCGGACTAGCCTACATTAATCTATGCACACAGTCCCAAGCATATGTGTATACACAATTTTAAAAACAGATAGCTCTATTTTAAAAAACTAAGGAGTTCACAGTAGGAGATAAAGCCAATTGAATTATAAGCCAGTTCATTCAAATATAACAGATTACTTACAGGTGCTTCACCTTGAATAGAACCAAAAGTAGCAGTAAAAAGCCATTCTAGAAACAGATCTATTAATACTTAGAAATTTATCTCCCGATTTTGGCTAACATTTTCCTCTACAATAGCCCTTTAAAAAAATAAATAAATAAATAAAACAAGAGGAAAACATATCCCTTAACAAATACATACAGTATGTTTCTGATATTCATGGAACACATCAGCAGAGATTGTAAATCTGAGGAAGGACCTGAATTAGGGAGGGAGGGACAGATCCATCTTCTAGCTGAATGTGGGTAAGTCCTTCTAAGACTTAGTCTTAAGGACTTCATGGAAGAGCATACTGTACAGTTTTCTTCTGGAAGATTTCTCAAAGATTTTTGTTATTTTTAATGTGGTGCTGATTCCCTCTTTATGTGGTCTGCACCATGTAGCTATTAATACATTCACAGTTACTAACATTTTTGTCTGTGTCAACAAGCTCTGCGGTTTGTCAAGAGGTTTGTGTGCTGGGGCAGCTTGGGACAGCAGACTCAACCTGCCGTCATTCCAAATCCTCCATCTCCGTGAGACAGTCTGGGCTCAATAAATGTTTACTGAAGGGATGGAAGGCTGGAAGCGAATCAGTGCCATGACTCCTTTTATACTCCTTCTGTCTGAGATAGCTTTGAGGTGAAGGAACAGGGTTTTGAAAGTGGATTATCATGATACAGGAAAGGCCTCAAACTCCAGTAAGTCCAGTCTTCAAGATTTGTTTCTAGAAAACAACCCCTAAACATCTTGGTCATTACCAAAAGCACCTCATTCCTGAGCAGTGGTGTAGGCTAACAGGATGAATACCCATGTGCCTCAGGCCTAAGTAATACCACCTTACTTCCAGTGCTTCTGCTCTTTATAAGAGTTTCTATAAACATCTCATTTGGTGCATCATATGGCAATTTTCCGTGTGACTACTGGGATCAGGTCTGTAGGAAGTAGGTGACTTATGGATCAGACCAGCGGTAAGACTGTAAGATTCCAAAGTGTTCGTAATGTGAAAAAAGTAGCTGTAGTCCTTTACTTCACCGATTTTTTTTTTGCTTTAACAATATAGCCACATAGTTAAGAACTCAATCGTGATTTTACCTTAAGATTCAGACAAGCTACATTATGAGTCACACAAAAACACAACTGCATCACCCTCGGCTCTGTGCATTTGCAAAATTCTTGGTCACCAAGAAATCAAAAAGCCATCCATTTACTTCTATCCTCAGCAAAACTTTCATGTTCAACTCATCATAAATATCATTTCCTGCGGAGTCAAGTACATTACATTAATGAAAACTGATAGCCATTGCTAGCTGTGTTTATAGATAAATACAGAAGGAGGTCCTTTCTCCCTCCTCCTAATTTTCAAAACGGCACAAGATCAAGATCTCACATCAAGATCTCACCCACAAGTATCTCTTCTGGGGATTAACTGGCTCCCTCAATTTCACTTTGGGCTTATGCTTTGATTTACCTTCCTTTCTTAATTACACCTAAACTATAAAAGCATTTATAGATGGAGATAATGTGCGTACAATTCAATCTTGCATGAGAAACAAGGAGGCAATCACAGGGGACGGTGACAGAGCAGCCAGGAAAAACTGGAATCCCATTTTCAACCAGTATTTACTCCTTTCATTCTATATTAGATGAAAGACACTGTAAAGGCCCTACAAACAAAATAGCCTACTTGATAAGTTCTGTACGGTACTACTGCACTCTATTAGACGTCTGCATCTGAGTCTCTCCCTGCCTGGAATCCAAAGCATCTCTACAGGTGAGCCATGACAAACCAATGCACGTGCAAGGCCCACCCACGCAGCGCCCACTCGGATCTGATGACACAGGACAACGGTGGCCAATTCCAGACCTTCGGGTCTCACACCTCCCCACCCCCTTACGCCCTTCAACCTGTTAGGCTGATCTCTCAGTTTTCATACTCAAGTATTTCTTTCTCTTATTCCCTGAGGATGTTTTCCCCAAAAGCAAATTCAGAATCTTGAATGCCAAAAAAACCACCAAGGATTTCCCTGTCTCCTTTCTACACCTAAGGCACAGGTGGCTAATTAAAAACACCAAAGCTGCCCTGTATATTTGTTCCTTTAAGCGTATCTAAGGTTCTGCCTAAAATATGTTCATACCTAGAGAGAAGATTTCAAATAATAAGACCACCTGATATGCACTAGAAACAAATCATGACCATGTTTATAAACTTTAACTCATTTAATCTTCCTTATCAAGCATCATGTAAGTCATGTAGAAAAAGACCCCCATAACTACAACACTGGTTTCACAAGGCTTTCATCTCACATTGGCTAGAGCCATTAAATTCACTACTTTGTGAAATCTTGTCTAGTTACATAGATCTAGAGTAGTCTTTGACACCAGCACACACACAGTGGTAACCTTAAATAGGTTTGCTTTCGTCATACTTCAAAACTTCCTAGCATTTCCATTTCAACGAGACCTCTCTCATCAAGTCTCCATGGAAAGTTTCCTAAAATATAATAGATTCTAAATCTGCCCTAACTTGCTCACACTGCCTGGGCTCAAATGGAGAGCTCAAACTACGTGACAGCAACCAAGGGACTCTGCAAGCCTCTGTCTTCTCGTGTCTAGGAGAGATTATCCCAGGGCCTCATTAAGAGAATGGGGGTTCACAAGCCAAGGCAAGGGAACACAACAGCCTGTGGCATCAGTCAGTGAGCCCTGTTAAAATGTTAGCGATTATTATTGTTGTGGTTGTTGTTGTTTTAATGCAATAATTAATAGGATACTAAAAGGGCTGTTCTAGAACCAGTGAGAAGTTTAGAAACAGGCAGAAGATGGTGCCCGATTCCTTACACTTTCATTTTGATAACAGCTATTGTGTCAGGTGGCTATGACAAGGATGATGAAGTGGCTTGGGACTTGGAATACCCTTGGTTAAAATGACTGCTGTCCTATAAATGGTCCCCAGATACAGTGTTTGATTTACAAATGAGAAAAAAAATATCCAAACTTCTAAATTTTTCACTATCTTGGAGAATACTTAAAGCCAACAAAATTCATCCAAAATTTTACTAAGATGCAATGAACCAGGCTGGGAGACCAGCTATCTAGATTTGCAACCATTTTTAATGTTCACTTACAATGTCACAAAGAGCAGATGCCCTTTAAAAGGCTTGCACATCATCCCAAATGGAATATGGTTTTTCATCAAAATTTTAACAAGCACTAGGGAATTAATCTTAAAATTCTGTTTTTGGAGCCATCCCCCACTTATACCTGTTTCTCTCCTACTTAGCCCAGCGGTTCTCAAAATGTAGTCCCTGAAGCAGTATCATCATCTGGGAAGTTGGGAATGCAAAATCTAAGACCTCACACCACAGGTCTGTGCAATCAGAAACTCTGGGGAGGGGTCCAGCAATCAATTTTAACAAGGCCTCCAGGTCATGCTTGGATGCATGCTCAAATTGGAGAGGCACTGCCAATAGGCTATTAACATGTGGGCTGTGCCATTACTTCAAGCCAGCTCTTTTCCTTAAAAAAACTATCTGGCATTTGTCTGTCCCTTAAAAACCTGCTATAGGATGATGTCAACGGTTCCTATTTTTAATTCCTCACGATGAGGCTGAGGATGATTCATTTAGCACCTTATGTGATCACTTAAATAGTAAGGATCCTTCTCTCCCACCCCTAATGGAAGGTGACTGCTGCCTGTTATTTCTGATGTAATTACAGGAACAATTCAGTAACAAAGGCTTGTCCTTCCTCAACCTCAGTAAAAGCTATAATAGAAGCTTATAATTATAACTCTCCATTCTTTTCCATAATGTGTTCCTCATAACAGACCCTTTGAAACCAATCTTATCACATGTCATAACAAGGAAACACAGAACCTGGGATCAAATTTAGTTTATTGTAAATAGAGATCAAAATTGCAAGTCTTTGGGCCAACCTTTTTCAGCTGACAAAAAACAAGTATGCATCAACCATCTGGTTTTATCTCATTTATCTAAGTGAAATGTGTATGAAGACAAAAAAAAAAAAAAAACAGTTGATTTAATGCTTTCTATGGGTCCTAAAGTAACCTCACAATAGTGTAACGTCCTGTCACCACCCAACTCAACTATCAAAGCAGGAAGCATTAAGGGGCATTTCCCAAATATCAAATAAAACCTCTACCTTTAATTTGTTAAGGTGTGTATTAATTCAGAGAAGTTAATTTCATACCTGCTGTGAAGTCACCTGATGAGTTGTGAATACCGTGATGTTATTAATTTCCCTTTCATTTTTGATTAATTTCACACTTATATTGGACAAGAAAGGCAAAATTAATGATGTCTGGAAGACAATACTTAGCTCTGGTAAGATACTAAATCAACCTCAAGTGTTCAAGTAAACAGAGAGCCCAGATAAGGAAATGATCATGGAATCCGCTCTAGAAAGTGCGCAAGGTGCCATGTAAATAAATGCCCAGAGACCCAGAGTGTGTAAGCTGTAATCTCCACTTAATACTCCTTGGGGAGAGGAGGAGAACGAAAGCCAGAATTCTGAAGACTGGACTATGCACAAATAAACTTGTGCCCTCATCATTGACTAAAGACATGGATTTTTTTTTTTTTTTTTTTTTGAGACAGAGTCTCGCTTTGTTGCCCAGGCTAGAGTGAGTGCCATAGCGTCAGCCTAGCTCACAGCAACCTCAATCTCCTGGGCTCAAACAATCCTTCTGCCTCAGCCTCCCGAGCAGCTGGGACTCACCATGCCCGGCTAATTTTTTCTATATATATCAGTTGGCCAATTAATTTCTTTCTATTTTTAGTAGAGACGGGGTCTCGCTCTTGCTCAGGCTGGTTTCAAACTCCTGACCATGAGCAATCAGCCCGCCTCGGCCTCCCAGAGTGCTAGGATTACAGGCGTGAGCCACCGCGCCCGGCTAAAGACATGGATTTACTTATCATGCTACAAGTCTCAAATTTCCAGGGGTCCCCCTGTGTATCACTCTGCCTCTTCACACCCTCTTGACTTCTCTTGACTCTAAGATCATCTCAGGACTCCCAGCTCAATACATGTGGAAAGAAGGGTCACTCACATCAGAAGATATGAAGAAAAGAGCTCAGTCCCATCATGCGGTTTTAGATAATCAGATACCTTTGTTATATACACCCTAATCCTATTTCCAATAATAAAGCCTATATTGAGAACCTGCAATGTGCCAAGACACTAAGAGCTTTGTGTAAGTTACAGAATATAACAATACCTCTTTGAAGTACCATTATTCACAACTTACCTGAGGCTCATAAAGTTAAATATCTTGCATAGGAGTGACCGCCAACTTAGCTCTGTCAGGCTCCCAAGCCTGGAGTCTTCCATATTTCATTACTTCCCTAGGAACATGAGTAATAGAACAGTTCTGGCTGCCTAGACATTATTTCAGAAGACCTGAAAGCTATAGGCATGCCACCTTCCTCTAAAAAACTTCTTATTTCCAGCTCCAACTCACCCACCTCTTCTTTGACTTCCAACTTATTTAAGTACGACTTCATAATCCCGTGCTATCAAGTTTTCTAATGTCCATTGGAGAATCCTATGTCTTAAATCTCCCCTAACAAGCTTGCCCAACTAGAATCTACATCCAAGTCCTATTGGTAAAGGCAGCAACTGGTCATCTCTGGCCATCAGCTACAGCAGTGCTATCCAATATGGAAGCCACTTACCACATGTGGCTATTTAAAGAAAATGAAAAATTCCATTCGTCAGACACACTAGCCACACTTCAGGTACACGATGGCCACACACGACTAGTAGCTGCCACACTGGATAGTGGATACAGAACATCTCCGTCGCTGTGGAGAGTTCTACCGCACAAAACTTGCATTGAGATATTTCAGGGCAACATCTTTGCCTCTTACACCCTACCACCATGGCAGGAGGACAGAGCCTCTTCACCACAGAATTAATTAAGGGCTTTCTCTGGCTAACTGTGACCAGACCCATGTGTCTTAGGGTCTCTCTCTGTGTTGCCCAGGCTAGGGTGCAGTGGCTGGCTATTCACAGGCACCACAGCCTTGAACTTCTGGGCTCAAGACACCCTCTTACCTCAGCAGGTCTCATCTTTTAAGGAATAACAACAAGCCCGGAGGAGTTAAGTCATTTGCCATACATATTGATATAGCAAATGCACTGACCTCACAGGACAGAAGCATCAAAACTGACAGGCACTGAGAAATAATCACTGCAAGCTCTTCCATTCAGGAATAACCACCCTACGCGACTGCAGCTCACAGAACAAAGCACAAACCACAGACACACAAGCACAACCACCCACACAGGTGCATCCCTGACGCACAGCCTCCAAGCTCTCCCCAGGTAAGAAGTCAATCTCCACAATTCTTCCTTGACGAGATAAAGTCCCCAAATCTGGTCTCTTGTTTCTATTTATTAAAGAAGACAATGCTAGGAAACCAGTTCTCCAATCACTGTTATTTCCTACCAATCACGCTCACTAAATTGCTTCACTAGAAGTTGGATTAACACGTACATAAGCCTTTGTTGACAATGACAGTCTGACAGCATGCTAAAAAAGGGAGCCTCAGTCCCCCTGGTGACACCTAAACTAGGGAGGAGTTAATTAAAAGATTTCCAGGAATTAAAAACCTCTCAAACTCTGGGTATAGCTCCACTTTGGGGAAGGACCCTAAAATGTATTGCTGGTTACTGCTGCATTAGAACAGCCAAGGTGAGGCACACTCAGCAGTAAATAGGCAAGGTTGTGGATCTGACCTTCGACTGCTACAACCTGCAAGTTCTCCGCACTGCACTTGACATTTCCTCTGTCTCCCTCAGCTGTTCACTGCTTTCCCCCAGCCTCCCTCCCAGCATCAGGCTGCTAGGACTGAACTCCCCACCCAAGACAAGCCAGCCTTCACGGCCACCAAAACTGGTCTATAAAGCAGTGGATCCAAGTCAGCACGTCACCTCCAGTGCTAACTCCTTCAGGTAGTTGTGGCAAGCCCCATGACAGTCCCAGACTCAGATTGGCATACAAGTCAGACCTGGGTCTTACTATTAATACAATGGTACGGTAACGAATGGGAACTTTGCAGAGGTAGGACACGAAATCAAGATGAAGGTTTTTCTAGTAAGAAATGCAAATGGACTCACCCTTCTGGGCACCGAGTGGGGGGAAATAAACTAACATGTTCCTCTTACAGCCTGTGACAGTCATCTGATCCTAGATAGACGTTCCTCTCTCTGAACATTCAACTCAATCACATCAGTAACATTTCTGCCTCTTCTAATGCTACTCACCTTTGCTTAAGGACCACAGCCACGTGAATAGTTACGAAGCCCGATGAGAGTCGCTGCTTTAGCCACTTCCCACCCAGTAGTCAAAACAGCATTCTCACCTGGCCAGCCCTCCCCCACGCCAATCCATCCTGCACCCACCAGCTGGACCACCAGGAACACCCTCTCCCCCTCCCTCCCACTTCAACAACGAGGCTTAGGTACCACCATCTCTAAGGCCAAACCGAGAATCAGGAAGGACTGCTTTGCTCACACTAATGAGTCTACCCTTTATGCACATCGCAGTCGGGTTATTTTCCACAGACCCAAGCCTAACTCACCTCGCACCTCAAACATCTCCTCTGGGACACTTTCTCTCCAGGGTATGGTAACTTTCCTAACCAGACTGTCAACCCCTCAAGAGCAGGGCATGTCCTTTCACTTCTCAGTGTCTCCGAAGAGCATTTTGGGAACAGAATCTTAAGCAAAACTGACGTTTTCACAAATATTTCCCAATGCACTGAAAATACAGTTTCTATTCCTGCTCCTAATCATTCCAACGGTAGATTTTTGGGCCAGCCACTAAGGTCATCCCACTTCAACACGCAGTTTGCAATCCACTTAACATGTCTAAACCTCAGCTGCATCTTCTGTGAAATGGCAGTAACAACAGTACCCACCACAAAGGGTCCCTGGGTTACAGAGATCATGGTCAAGCACAGTGCCTGGCACACGGTAGACGTTCAATAAATGCTGCCATTGCCCCTCCTCCTTCCCATCAGGAAACCTCCTTAAAGGGACAGTGTAGCATAGTAGAACTAACATGGCTGGAGGAATAAAATGGACCTGTGTTCAAATCCTAAGTCTGTTCAGATCCTGGGTGTGGGACCTTGGGGGAAGTTAGTCAACCTCTCAGTTGCATTCCCTTCACCAAGACTGGTAATGAACCTCAAAGGGTTAGCCTGAAGACTAAATGAGGGAGTAACACCTAATGCTCCCAGTACAACTCAATTAGTGCCATTTACTAAATACAATTTTAGCTTAGTCAAAGCCCTAACACAGCTGGAAAAAAAACACACCTTTGCACCCCTTGCTGACATCCAGGCCATGTTCTTCTGGCCACACTGTTCAAGGGGAGTCCCTAACCAGGCCCGGCCCTTTCAGCCAGCAACCCCACCAGTCCTCAACAAAAAGCTCTAACGCCACTGAGTACAAGAAACTCACCGGAGAGCTGTGCAGAGACCCGTGCTTTATGAGGAACACGTGCATCCTGATTGTAATCACTCACTGTCTCCAAACGTTCCCATCTACTCGTATTTTACACATAAAACTAGAGAGACCATTCTTGGGGGGGGGGGGGGGACACTGGCACTATTAGTTACTCTTTTTTAAACAAATTCATAATTGAAACTATTCTAACAAAACAGAGCCCAAAGTGCCAAGAGTGAAAAATCCAGATCTGAAATGGATATTCAAACAAGCGGATGAAATGGGACAACCACGAAAGGCAGTCCCCAGCCGGAATCACTCCCTTACTGGGAAAAATAAATAAACGCCACTGGTTCAGACCAATTTGCAAGTTTTTGAAAACCCTGAGGGGGAAGTCGGAGCAGACTCGAGTCCTGAGGCTCCCAGTGCCCCCTTCCGAGGGGCCCAGCTTCCTCCGCCGCCTCTGCAAAAGGGTCCAGGGGCCCAGGAGGCCTCCGTGGCTCACCAGGGCAGAGGGGCAGCATTCAGAAGTTAAATGAGTTACCAGGTAACAGGGTTCCCACCAGAAATATGTCTTCTAGGCAATGGCCTGGCTACACAAAGCTGAAAAGTGACTTCACTTCCTTCCCGTTGCTCCCAGGCCAGGCCCAGCAGGCTTGGCGATGCACTGGGCCGGCCCCGTCCCCACAGACAGGACCTTACCCCAGTCCCGCTCAAGCTACTGGTGCAAGGACAGTCATTCCCCTCCCGAAGCAGGCTGAGGAAGGCTCATCCGAGCCCACAGTGAGAGTCCGTCTTTCACAAGGGCTTAGAAATTCTGTGAACAGCTGCAAACCCACTGACCATCCCCAAATACTCCAAACTTCCTCACCTCCTTCCACCACCTCCAGCTGTCTCCATTTCTTCCTTGCCCGTGCCTGCCTGCCTGCCTTGGGGCTCACAGATGTTCTTTGCTAAAACTATTAGGCCTGCTCAGATCCACCCTGCAGATCCTAGCCTGAAGTTCACCAGAAGTGTCAGATAACACTAATGATCACAGCAGAGCAGCAGGAGCATGCCTGAAGGTTCGCTAACCAGCCAGATGCTTCCGAAGTGGTATAACCTTGA